CAAAAATGAAGACAACAAATAATGAAAAAAATGTATCACCCAGAATGATTCCCCTTTGTGAATAATCTGAATTAGCAGGTTATCACTTCTAATACGGTCTGCCATAATCATGGGATATTTAATCATACAACCCTGAGTCACAAACTTCCTAATTATATACATATAGTCATATTCACTTTGTTCATGCTCTCAAAAAGAGACGGAATAAAATACATGATGACTGTTCAAGTACGATAGGGGCTGTTTGCCCCAGAGGAGCTCTGATCATGTAATCCTTCTCTTAATCATCTCACACAGACGAAACGTGAAATATGTCAAGACAAATAAAACACTAGCGTAGAGGTGAACTGACTGCAATGACAGTTCAATCTTGCGCTAGTGAGAAAAGTGCATCTCAACCCAAACCACAGCTAAATAAAACTACAGAGAACACCCAAAGGACATTGCTTTGCAGAGAGGAGAGGTCTTGGGATGGGAGATGAGGCTTTGTACAGGACAGCACAATAATACTAAGCGACTTCACTGCTTGCAAGGCCCTACCATACATTATGAAAAAGATAAAGACATCTCTCCAAGCGCCAGAGACCCCCTGCTGCCAAACAAGCAGTTTTCATGCAGGAACTACAGTTCAAACCTTTTCATTGTGAGGGACAGGATGACTTCTTAAACACTGCAGAACACAAAGTCAAGAAAAAGAAAGAAATAGCCTGCCAAAATCTCAAAAACTTTGCCATCTCAGCTAAAATCTCAGCTACAGATGGTCAAGAATCTGACTTCCACTGTCCAAAAACCCACACACAAAGAATCTTTCCAAAAGAATTCTGATCAAAATTACAACGAGAGAATAATTGATATTGACAGAATTAATTATTTCTTATAAGCATACAGATGAAAATTAATTCTGCCCACAATCAATTATTCTCTCATTTTGGCTGTATCTGCTACTATAAAGACTAGCTGCAGATCATCATTACGACTACAAAGAGCACCATAAACCATCACATGCCATCCATGAATGACATTTGTCTCCAGGACAAGCAGGAGGGGTTGATCACTAACCCCTTCCACAACAAAACTCATTTTTTCCCCCAGATCTCCCTTAATGAGAAACAGTTCAAGTTCAATCAAGACAAACTACCTAGAAATGTAACTACCTAAATCTCTCAAAGGTCATATCATAGTTTTTATTACATTTTCCCGCAGTCCACTTATATGGTGGTAGCTTTTTGCCCCAAGAAATGCAAATTTATTACATAGTGCATATTTTAGTTTTTTGTTTTCCACTCTCTCTCTCTCTCTCTTAGAATTAAATAGGGCCATTGTTTGCCGTTGTGTATTTAATATTTTCTATGACTATGTAAACACTCTCTTTCCCACAAGACATGAGAAACTTTGCTGCACTCATTTGAGCTGTGCTTTTTATTTAGACTACGATATACTTTTTAATTGCAGGATCCTTCAATAACAGACTGTTTGAAAAGTATGCGTTTCATTGTGACAGGTTCACAAAACAATTTGCAGGGAAATAAATGTGTTATCTCCTGGGCGGGCAGTTTGTGTTTATGGAAATAAATACAATACATATATTTCATATGGTAGCACATAAAAAGCTCTAGAATGAATAAAAATCATTAATAAAATGAATATACAATATATACATCTCAATATATTCAACTTAAAATATTAACGGCTATTTTTTTTGTCGGCCAATCACGTCGTCCCTCTTGTCTTTTTAAACTGCGGCGGATCCTGCTCTTTTCACTCTGGCTGATCTGGTTTGAGGGGAATCACTATGCTGTAGGACTCACATCTATGAGAGAATGCTGGAGAGGCCCCATCCAGGTATTTTGTTTTTGTTCTCATCCCTCTGCTATATGTGATTATTATGTGCATAATAGCATTTAAAAGGTAAAATTCACGGCCATCATGTCATGTAATGTAGCATGTTCCAGTGCCAAATGAACAG